TTTCCCACAGTGATCTTACAATGCTAAAAATATTTGTGACTAATTAGTGTTTAATCAAATCACTTCTTGTTAAACTTGATGTAATAAATAAGAATTTTGTTTTGTTTATTTTATAAAAACCTATTTTTTAAGTAATTACGATAATTAAATATTTAAGGTAAAAAATTACTTGCAATTTTTTTGAAATATGTAACTAAGGTATCGCAAATTATAAAATTACGAGAAAGCTCTTTTCTCGAGTTCTAATTTGTTTTTCAATTTGTAACTATTTTTTTCCTATCATAAGGCCTCTTGATTTGCGAGGCTCGGTCAATCACCTGGTCTGCCCATGCCCAGCGCCAGCACTGGCTGTAACAGCAAAGAATTCTTACCACACGGCTTTTACTACTCCTGTGCCCCACGAGTCCCCTCACGTTTCCTGGACACCGTCTTCAGAAGACCTACCAGTGGAACTCAATTCAATGAGAAATAACTTCTACAATATCCACATCCTCTAGTTCAACCATCACATTTTGAACTAAAAATGAAGACTTGAGTCTGTATATAAAATCATCTACATTTACACAAACTGTATTAAATCCATTAGATAGAATTTGGGTTCATGAGAAGAAAACAGTAAATTAAATTAAGAAAAAAGGTACTATTTAACTTTTCTATCACTAGGAATCTTGGCATTGATTCTTTTCTAAGGCAACTGTGACTAACGTCTATTTTGAAAGTGTTTATGTGAACACTCAAAATTTTGTTGTGTAATCTGCGTTTTTACTTTGATCCTTTACATCCATCAATGTGGAAAAAATCTGCTTGTATCATTATGTACTTCCTCAAAATTTGAGAAAAGTTATTAGAATGGAAATATCTACAATAAATAAACTTTTTCATGTTATTTTTATGAAAATATTAAATGCACAGCATTCCCCATGAACCTGAAAACCTCTTACAATTGTATTAACTGCAACCTACAATATAAAATTTTCATTATTAATAGATTTTTGGATCTCAGTCAAAGCTTTCCCTTTGCCATTGAAAAACTGCAATTCCATGACGGTGCTAGTAACCAAAAAATTATACTCATGCACACATGCACATCATGTAAACTAAAATCCCATGGATGACATATCTGGAACCCCCAAACAGCTAATAATTAGAACCTGAAGCTCTAATCTCCTAAAATGACAAATACCTAGGCAAATAACTATTCATTGAAACTCAACTACATAAAAACTACCTAGTGACAATTAGTCAATCAAATGAACAAGCAGAAACCTGATTTAAATGGAATTTATTTCTAAACTGAAACCTCCTATCTCAGACCTCAGAAAATAATGTATTTACCTGTCGAAAATAATGTATATAAATGTAAGTCGACTCTGAAAATACAAAAATGAAGAGAGCATCCAAGGAATTTTTATAAACTTTTAACGAATTATTACTACTTAGTCAAAACTAAATTGCCAATTGTCTTGCTGTTGAGAATAGAAATAAAACTTAATTCCTGGGCTATTCCTCGATTTTTAATTTTTTTTGTTTGTCTTCCTCCCACACTGCAGCATTCTGTGATTTTTTAGACCCACACTAAAGTTGTACGAGTTGAATGTATGTTCATGTCGCCACCTAAGAACATTCCCTTTTGAATCACAATGTTTTCTTTCTGCCACAATCTTGTTCATAGCATCTGATTCTTTGACATTTCTTTCTACTAAATTTCAACATATTCATTTTTTCCCCCTTGTGTTTCACTTACTACAAAATCCTCTGACAATCCTCTCTTTAATTAGCAATTCAAAAATATTGGTTTGAATTACCCAGCAAATCCGTGGTGGTGCCAAAAATACATCCACAAAAATATTTAGATATTTTATATACATATTACACAAGGCACAAACATATTACACATATTACATACTGTTCGGTTCCGAGTTCTCCGGCCCTGTGAGAGGGGTCTACGTTTCTCCGCGGGGAGGAGGG